TCACACCCCTGACCTCACACCCCGTACCCCCACACCCTGCACCTCCACACCCCTGCACCTCCCTCCACCCCTGTACCTCCTCACACCCCTGCACCTCCCCACACCCCTGCACCTCTCACACCCTGCACCTCCCCACACCCCTGTACCTCCCACAACCTGTACCTCTCACACCCTGTACCTCTCACACCCGAACCTCTCACACCCCTGCACCTCTCACACCCTGTACCTCACACCTGCACCTCTCACACCCTGTACCTCTCACACCCTGTACCTCTCACAACCTGTACCTCTCACAACCCGTACTTCTCACACCCTGTACCTCTCACAACCTGTACCTCTTACACCTGTACCTCTCACAACCTGTACCTCTCACACTGGCCGGGCATCACTCAGCGAGGACAGCGTACTGGGAGGCGGCAAGGAACTGTGGACGCAGCGAAGAGAAAGTGTGGCTAGAAGAAATGTCAAACTGATTCAGGAAGTGAAGTGTAATGGGTGGACGGTACTGGGTCTGGCTCACCTAACCTAACCTAACCTAACCTAACCTCATCCCAAATTAGTGTTAGGGTAGTTAATCTTTAGGTGAAATAAACTGGGGTGGAAATTTTTCAGGTGATCCGTGTCCCCCCCCTTACTCATACACTATTGAGTTTCATACATACCGGAAAACAACATTGGAAAAGCTGATATTTCTGTCAATTTAACAATAAACAAAACAAACAAGACAGACGTTCAAGACCAATTATTTGAAATTAGACAATCGAATCTATCAATTTCACTACAGTCACCCACAAAAAGTAATTCCTCCTCCTTCTGAACCACGAACCCTGAGATTCAAACTCATGAATCCGAAGCAATAGTCACTGATGCATTATTCTGCTGAGGATTCACGAATCTCAATCTTGGGGTTCGTGGTTCAGGAACAGGAAAGGCAACAGGACTTTTTTTGATGGGTGATTGTACTGTACTTCTTTTGCTTTACGTAAATTACAGTACTCTGGTGACCAACTTGGAGGTTCGGTAGTGCAAAGTAATTATCTTCCATCCGGTACAGTTGTGTAGTGGGTCACAGTGAGTCCTGAAGCCTTATCTGAGGGGCAAGGCTGGACACGTGTTGGTCCGTCGGGAGGGGGAAGTACTCTGCGTAGATAAAGTGAATCCTCTATATAACGGACTTGTTTTACTCTATATAATCCGATAGATGGGGGTGTTCGCATTTAACGGACTTCCCTCTCTATATAATCAGTTAAATATAAAGGTTTCGCTGTAACTTGCTGTACCGTGAGGGATAATGAGAGGATTGAAGAGAGATGGTGATAGTGACACCATTTCACACCACACATCACACCACACCTATCACACCACACCACACATCTATCACACCACACACCTGTCACACCACACCTGTCACACCACACACCTGTCACACCACACCTGTCACACCACACCAGGTCGAGACTTTACGCCTGAACACTTCCTACTCACGTAACCTTAACACTTGATCAATCTATTGTGATCAGATTAACGTACAATAGTTTTTTAAGAGGTAAATTCCTTCATATGTAAACTTGCCACTTGATCAGTCTGTTGTGGCCTGATTGGTTTAGACTGAAGTAATGTGTTGTGTATAGGCTACCGTAAGGGGTCCACTCTATAAGACTGACTAACCTAACACTAACCTAACCTAACACTAACCTAACCAAACACTAACCTAACCAAACACTAACCAACCAAACACTAACCAACCAAACCAAACCTAACCAAACACTAACCTAACCAAACCAAACCTAACCAAACACCAACCTAACACCAACCTAACCAAACACTAACCCAACACCAACCGAACCAAACACTAACCCAACCAAACACTAACCTAACACTCAACCGAACCAAACACCAACCTAACCTAACACTCAACCTAACCCCTAACCCAACCAAACACTAACCTAACCAAACCAAAACCTAACCAAACACTAACCCAACACTAACCCAACCAAACACTAACCTAACACTAACCGAACCAACACTAACCTAACCAAACACTAACCCAACACTCAACCGAACCAAACACTAACCTAACCAAACACTAACCTAACACTAACCGAACCAAACCAAACGTAACCAAACACTAACCTAACACCAACCGAACCAAACCAAACACTAACCTAACACTAACCGAACCAAACACCAACTCAACCAAACACTAACCTAACACTAACCTAACACCAACCGAACCAAACACTAACCTAACCAAACACTAACCTAACACTAACCTAACCAAACACTAACCGAACCAAACACTAACCGAACACTAACCGAACCAAACCAAACACTAACCCAACACCAACACACTCAACCGAACCAAACACTAACCTAACCAAACACCAACCCAACACTAACCTAACACTAACCGAACCAAACACTAACCAACCAAACACTAACCAAACCAACCCAACCAAACACCAACCGAACCAAACACTAACCTAACACTAACCACCAAACCAAACACTAACCTAACACTAACCAACCAAACCAACGAACCAAACACTAACCTTAACACTAACCGAACCAAACCAAACACTAACCTAACCAACAACCAAACACTAACTCAACCAAACACCAACCTAACACTAACCTAACACTAACCGAACCTAACACTAACCTAACCTAACACTAACCTAACCAAACACTAACCTAACCAAACACTAACCAAACCTAACACTAACCGAACCAAACCAAACCTAACACTAACCTAACCTAACACTAACCTAACACTAACCTAACCAAACCTAACACTAACCTAACACTAACCGAACCAAACCAAACCTAACCAAACCATAACACCGTAACACACAACACAACAGCTTTTATTCAATGAAATTTTTGTTTGTGTACAGTAAATGAATTATTGAAGAGAGCGAATGACTGGTTGAGTGATGGCAGGTGTTGGTGAACTGTGCAGCCCAACACTCCATCATCGCCTCGTAGTCTACCATGACGGAGACAATAACAAAAGTATAGGAGTTTAGTAGAGAAAAAATAAAGCTCTTGTGATGTCTAGGTGGAAAAATGTGGCCATACGTAGAAAATGGGTAAAAATACATAGAACATGGGGAAAAATATGTAGAAAATGGATAAAATATGTAGAAAATGGGTAAGAATATGTAGGAATGGGTCAAATATGTAGAAGTGGGTAAAATATGTAGAAGTGGGTAAAAATATGGAGAAAATGGGGAAAAATATGGATGGAATGGGTAAAAATTTGTAGAAATGGGTAAAGATATGTAGAAAATGGGGAAAAATATGAAGAATGCAAAATATAAAAAAAATGGGTAAAAATTTGTAGGAATGGTTAAAATATGTAAAAAAAAATGGGTAAAAAATATGTAAAAAAAATGGGTAAAAATTTGTAGAAATGGGTAAAGATACTCAAGGTCCTTGATACCAGTGGTCGTCAGGGTCCTTGATACCAGTGGTCGTCAGGGTCCTTGATACCAGTGGTCGTCAGGGTCCTTGATGCCAGTGGTCGTCAGGGTCCTTGATACCAGTGGTCGTCAGGGGTCCTTGATACCAGTGGTCGTCAGGGTCCTTGATACCAGTGGTCGTCAGGGTCCTTGATGCCAGTGGTCGTCAGGGTCCTTGATACCAGTGGTCGTCAGGGTCCTTGATACCAGTGGTCGTCAGGGTCCTTGATACCAGTGGTCGTCAGGGTCCTTGATACCAGTGGTCGTCAGGGTCCTTGATACCAGTGGTCGTCAGGGTCCTTGATACCAGTGGTCGGGGCCATGGAAACCTGTTGTTTATATTTACGTAGAAAGAAGTAACTTTATCCCCGGCTGTTCTTTCCTTGTGCCAGTCTTGTCACCCACCAGTGAGAGGATGGGGAGAGGGAGGATGAATGATGATGAGGGGAGATGGTGAGAAGCGGTGAATGATGGTGAGAGGGAAAGAAGGAATAAGTATAGAAGAATTTAATAAGTTAATAACACTATATAAATCATCACTATATGTTCACTATACAACCAAAAGAATGTATTGAAGAAAACTATAAAATATGACTTAATGTTTACAAGGAAGGTGAATGACTGATTAATGCAGAACGTTTATTACAGAAGAGGAGAGAGAGCGGTAAGGGAGCCCAGTGTACCAACGGGTTCTTGAAGGCTCTCTCAGACCTTCCGGAGCGGTGAGCCTTATGTAGGGCCACGGAACCTGCAGTCACTGACATCCTCCTTCAGTGTAGTGTACATGTCTCCTGTAACACTTTATCACTCGTAGGTGCTGTTGTCTGGGATGTTATAGTGAGTGAAGGTTCCTGAGCCATGGTTGGAGGGCAGTTTGTGTGGTTATGCTCCCAGTTGTGTAAGGAGAAGGTTCTGGGGGGTTGGCAGTGGTGTTCACCTGTACGCAGCGTTGGGTAACAGGGAGCCAGGGAGGTAAGGCTCACCGGTGCGTGCTGAAGCCCCGTAAAATGGGCGTTAACTGCGGCGGTACCTGCCTCTACCTCCCTGACGTGCGGTCATTAGGTTCCGCGTGGCCTAAAAATGTGCGGCCGTCCCGTTTAACACTGATTAAGAACCTATTGTGATCGGATTACTGCAGGTTTTGTTCTGTTGCTTGATGGTATGAATATTTCAGATGGCGCTGTGTAAATGATCTTGGATGATGACGAAAAAAGCAGAATTAAGGATCTTTTTCATAACTCGTAAGCCCAGTCCGCGTCATGCTGAGGAGCGGCACATTCTTGGGGAGACGGTGGGCGGGGTTCTGAGGCCGTCGTCTTGTGGCGGGCGTACGATATACACTCTTATCTCTGCTTGTATAACTCTCACCTTGGTGTTTAATAACTTTCCAATGGACGTATCCTTTTGTTTCTTAATATTTATGTCGTTCATTATAATATTAAACTTGTATATCTTACAGGATGGTGAAGGAGGGTACAAGTTGGACCCCACCTACCGGCGTCGTGAAGGAGCGGCCTCAGTCTGGCTAAAGGACCGGTGGAGGACGGGTGTGTGTATAGCGCCCTTGCCTCTTCATGCAACCCGCTTAACTGTGATTTTTAAGTAGGATAGTTATATAAGGTAAGAACAACGAGAGAGAGAAACAGTGTTTGGAAACGTGAAGGAAAAAAAAAAAGACCCTCTTCGTTGTGCGCCAGGACTGGATACTTCCTTGGGAGGACGAGTAGAGAGGGTGACTTTAATGCACCAGGAAGAGTGAGCAGAGGCGCTTTACTCTCTTATCACCACGCCCACGTTGCTAAGTATTATCTGCACACACACACACACACTAATGTTACCTCTAGTCAACCATCACACAAGTGCTCAGCCAGAAGGAAATACAATTTGAAGACGTGGAAAAAAGGAGAATCATCTTTCGTTACTGTGGTCAAGATGTTAACGACGACTACCTGGGGCGAGGAGGTGGAGGTTGGGGAGGTAGTGAGGAGGCTGGGAGGTACTGTAAAGGTTGGGGCCGGGGAGACAGCGTGGAGGTACTGTAGAGGCCGGGGAGGTAGTGTGAGGTAATCTGGGAGTATTGTGGAGGTAACCTGTAGAGGCCGAGTAAGCTGGGAGGTATATAATCTATGGAAGCTGAATAAGCTGGTCGTAATCTATAGGTACCGCGTAAGCTGGGGGTAATTTATAAGTACCGAGTAAGCTTGGGGGTCATCTATAGCTATCGAATAAGCTGGGTGGTTAATCCATAGGTACCTAGTAAGCTGGGGGTCATCCATAGGTACCGATTAAGCTGGGAAGGGCAATATATAAGTACCGAGTAAGCTGGGGTGGTTAATCTCTAGGATACCGAATAAGCTGGGAAGGGCAATATACAGGTATCGAGTAGGCTGGGGGGGTGTTATCCATAGGTACCGAATAAGCTGGGTAGGGCAATATGTAAGTACCAAGTAAGCTGGGTGGTTAATCTCTAGGTACCGAGTGAGCTGGGGTCACCCATAGGTACCTAATAAGCTGGGAAGGGCGGTCTATAAGTACCGAGTATGCTGGGGAAGTAAGAATATATACCCTACTCTCGTTAAATCCCTTAGCAAGTATGTATATGGGTCATTATTCATAGGTGTAGGTCGTGTCTACCTGTGCTGTAAGGTAGAGGAACAAGGGGCCCCCATGAGTCCTCCTCCCTCAGGCTGGCATTTGAACGTCCGTGAAGGGGTAGGGGGAGGCAAGGTGGTGGTGACGTCAGCTGAGAGGCTTGTGCTGGAGGCAGAGAGGGCAGGATTGGTCACTCCAGGATGTGTCTGCTATGCTCCTCCATGACTCAGGATGTGGGAGAGAGGTGGGTGTTAAGAAAGGGATAGGTATGCGTAAGGGAGGTAGGTGTGTGAGAGGGGAGGGGGGTAGCTGTGTGTGTGTTTCCATGGTCAGGTAAAACAGATGGTGGCCAGCCTCACAATACACCACTAAAGTCGGTCATCGTCGACGTTAAGTAACTCCAGAACAAAGGGAGAGTCAAGACTTTTAGCTACAGTTTGTGTGAGAGAGGAGCTCTTGTAAACAATATTATCATCTCATTTTGTTTGTATATTATTTTATGACCAAGAACAGTTTTTAATGGTCGTTAAAAATACCAGTTAGAATTATCAATCGAACGTGTGAGACTGCAAGACGTGAATTTTAACTGCGAACTTCAACAAATAAAATAATACAAGAATTACACCAGCGGACTTACATACATATTTTTTGCCTCGCCATTGGAACTTCACAAACCCCCGACGAGCTTACATCAACTCGTCTTGTTTACATTCTCTTTATATTTCTCTCGGGAACAAATATGTCCAGACATTAATTTTTTTAAACACTCAAAAAGAAATAAAGAAGTTCTCAATAGTTTAGCTTCAGTGACGGACCGCCAGGATGCCCACAGATGCCGGGGAGATAGCCAGAGGGGGTGGGGGGTCATAGAGGGCCCTCAGTGACCTCTCGACCAGACCAGGCGACTGTGACCCTTCATGCTAGGGATCTTAATGACCATAATCCCAATAGGCTGAGAGGTGAACACTTTTTTAATGCCCCCTTTCACCCACTGAGGTACTGTACACACTGTCGTCCTCTGTGTGTGTGTGTGTGTGAATGAGTTTGTATGTGTGTGTTTGAGTTTGTGTGTGTGTGTGAATGAGTTTGTGTGTGTGTGAATGAGCTTGTGTGTGCGTGAATGAGCTTGTGTGTGTGTGTGTGAATGAGCTTGTGTGTGTGTGTGTGAATGAGAGACAAATATTGTATAAAAACTTCTTCATAAATAAAAAACAAAACCTTGGACCCTAAAACACTTGACAGTAAACCTCGTCTCATATTCTTAAAGCATCAGTAAGAACATAAGAATGGAGGAAACTGCAACAGGCCTATTGACCCATACTGGACAGTCCCATTTACACCCAACCCCTATCACTCATATATCCGCCCAACCTATGTTTGAAGCTATCCAGCGCATTAGAGTTAATGATGATATTTGGTAACTTGTTCCACTCGTCCACTACTCTATTTCCAAATCAATGTTTACCTATTTCGCGCCTAAATCTAAATTTGTCTAATTTAAAACCATTTAAAGTAAACATCATTGGGATCACCTGGAACAATATATCCGCCTCATCTTAACTCACCTAACGATTAACCATCCTAACCCCCTCCCAATAGTATTAGGTTAGGGTGCTTAATCTTCAGGTGAAATAAGCTGAGGTGGAGATTCTTAGTATAGCAGTCAGCTAATGAGTACTCTTAATTGACAGGTAAAATCAAAACTTTAATCAGTGTTGAGGGAGATAATTACCTCAGGTGGTCAGCACCATTTACCTGCACTGTACACCTGTGGCCTAGATAATTAACTCCAGGTTATTGTTACACGTGTCAAGACCTGTACCGTAGCAGCCAGGTACCAGGGGGAGACGTATTTTTTGTGTGTGTGTGAGGGAGAGAAAGGTTGTGTCATGGAGGTGTTCAGGAGTGTCATCATCCTGGCCGGGGTCCAACACTGCTCCGTCAGCATGTAAATTACGGCTCGTACTGTCTCATTCTTTGAAGTCTCAATGAATATATATATAAACGAAAAAATAACTAGATAGATTAACACCAGATCAATAAAATCATGTCGTTGAGGATACATTACAGCATGCGTCGTTTGTGGATTAAATATGTGTTAGAGTGGGACACATTCGGCTACGTGTTCTGACAGATGATCACTTGTACCGATATCTTGTTGGTACACGGGAGGACTACGCGTTCGTGTCTTGCAGCGTAATCACTTTAGTTCTCGTTTGTTTTGCGCTTTCCTCTGAGGTCGTAGGGCAGGAGTAGGTCTTGGGGGCATGACAAGAACCCGTTTGTGTGTGAGTTGAAGGAGGTGACGGCCATGGGTACTGATGCTGGTGTTGAGAAATATAGTGTTATCCAAGATGTGGTGAGGAGAGAGAGAGTATAACCATCGTTGGGATGCCCGCCGGCTACGCCTCTGGCTGGAGTCGCCGGCTCCTATTCAAGGTCATGTCTTTCTCTCGCTGGAAGTATAACTCGTGCCCGGTAGTACTAGAGGTAGGGAAGGAAGGTATAGGGGCAGTGCTGGCATCTATACCCAACACTGACGATTGGTAACGCTGTATAAAGGGTCACTGAGGCTCTGAACAACCAACACATTCCATGGACTTAAGACAGATGTTGTAGGGACGCACTTTGATGTGTTAGAAAGCAAGTGTGTGTGTGTGGTGGAATGTCTTGTACAGTCATTAAAGGCACACACGTCTCTCCAACAGTACGCCATTCTTATAATTTTCTCCATAAATCATATTTTATGTGTGGTCAATGGGACAGTCATCAGTGAATATAAGTTTGTAAAAATATGTAACTCAGGTAACTTACGCATTCACCCACTGTAATGTGAGAGATGGAAAGAGTAGAGAGAGTGTGTGAGAGAGCCTGTGTGTGTGTGAGAGAGAGAGCCTATGTACGTGTGTGAGAGAGCCTATGTACGTGTGTGAGAGCCTATGTACGTGTGTGAGAGATGTGTGTGTGTGTGTGTGTGTGGAGAGCTATGTACGTGGAGACAGTGTGTGTGTGTGTGTGAGGCCTTGTGGAGAGAGATAGTCTGTGCGTGTGTGAATAGAGGGCCCCAGCTAGTTACCACACACATGAGGACCGTCCCTGGGCCCAAGGATGGAAAAAGCAGAGGTGAAAAAAATTACATGTTTAGGCTGGTGGTCCTGCCTCTCCTGTCTGGCCAACATTATCCTGAGTGGGCCTCAGTCTCCCTCCCTCCCTCACACCTACCCCTACCTTCCCTCCCCTCACACCTACCCTACCTTCCCCTCCCCTCACACCTACCCTACCTTCCCTCTCCCTCACCTACCTGACCTGTCTCATCTCGTGACCATCAACACTCAATCCCTCCCCCTCCTGACCTCTCCAGTTATCCTCCCCCCATATGATCTCCCCCTACTTCCTGCTGTCTCTCACTCCTCTCAGTATCCCTCACCTCCCTACTCTCTCCTCCCATCCCTCACTTCCTGCTGTCTCTCCTCCCCCATTATCCCTCACCTCCTACTGTCCCTCACCCCCCACCATCGTTATCTCTCACCTGCCTCCTCACTCTCTATCCCCCCCCTATTATTCTACCTCACCTGCCCGACCCTCCCACTAATTAGTACTCCCCCGTGACCCACCACCAGCTCTTCCGGGCCCCTCACCATCAGGTCACCCTTACCGTTCCGTTGACCTCGTTTAACCTACCATTTCGTCTCCTCAACGTGTATCCATAACGCAGGACCCTTAAGACATATATTAGCCAATCATCCACCTGTTCATACAATAACAAATCGTGTGTGTGTAGGGCGGTGTGTGTGTGGAGCGGTGTGTGTGTGTGTGTGTGGGGCGGTGTGTGTGTGTGTGGGTGTGTGTGTGGTGTGTGTGTGGGGCGGTGTGGGTGTGGGGCGGTGTGGGGTGGGGGCGTGTGTGTGTGGGTGTGGGTGTGGGGCGGTGTGTGTGTGGGTGTGTGTGTGGGGCGGTGTGGGTGTGTGTGTGGGTGTGGGGCGGTGTGTGTGTGGTGTGTGTGTGTGGTGTGCGGTGTGTGTGTGTGTGTGTGGACGTGTGTGTGTGTGTGTGTGGGGCGGTGTGTGTGGTGGTGTGTGTGTGTCCTCCTTCCCATGATCAGCTCCTTCCTTTCTTCTCGCCGGTAATCAGGGTCAGCCTCTGTGTTCACACTCTGTGTTCACTCTCGTCTGTTCTACATATGTTCTTCTTGTGTCTTATGAAATGTGACCACCTGAACAATAACCACCCCAGCTTATTTCACCTAAGATAGTGGTGGTGGTCGTGGTAGTATTTAGTGGTGTGTGGTTGGTAATGTTGGTAGTAGTAATGTGGTGGTAGAAGTAGTAGTATTGGTGGTGGTGATGATGATGGTAGTGGTAGTAGTAGTGGTGGTGGTGGGTGGTGGTGGTGTGTGCCCTCCTTTGACTGTATTGATTCTTTCTCCCTCCTTCTGTCTTTGTCTCTTCTCTCTATTGGTTCCTCTCCTCCCTTCTCTTTGTTTATTCTTGCCACGTTTATAGTCTTCTCCGTTGTTTCCTCCTCCTCCTCTTCCCTATCCTATTCCACCTTTGCATTTTATATACTTTATTCTCCTCATTCTTTCTTTCTCATTTATCTTCCATTTCTCCACCATCTTTACCCTACTGTTTACGTCCCCCTCTGCCCTCCTCTACCCTCCTCTACCCCCTCTGCCCCTCCTCCACCCTCCTCTGCCCCTCCTCTGCCCCTCCCCCCCCCCCCCCTGCCCCTCCTCTACCCCTCTCTGCCCCACTCTGCCCTCCTCTACCCCCCCTCTGCCCCTCTCTCTCCCCCTCTGCCCCTCCCTCCTACCCCTCCCCCCTCCACCTCGAGTATTCCTGCTGAGCGGGTCACGGTAGGGCGAGTCTCTCTCTCTGTCATTCTCAAAGATTTTTCCGTCATCCTTTACCGATGAAATAAACGCCTATTTAATGTTTCAAGGGACTAAATTGAGAGTCATGGTGTTGTTTAATATACGTCGAGATATTATATTACAAAGAAAAAATAAATATTGTAAGAATTGTTAATAATCTGAATGTGTCCCAAACCGTGTGGGTATGATGGGGTGTGCTGATTGGTGGCTCTCGGTATGACGTCAGAGTCCGTCGTCATGGTGTAGATGACGTCATAGATAAACAATACTCGCCACGCCCATTTTTCCTATATGTCTCTCTCTCGCCCCGCCCATGTGTGACACGCCCCCCACACCTCTCTGATGAACCCACACCTGCCTTTCCTCCCCCCTCACCTCCCCCCCTCCCTCACATTCACTGCCACTCTCCCCAGCCATTCCGCGTACTGTTTGACTCATTCCTTTATTTGTTAAGTTTATCTAATACTTTTCTGAGATATTTACGTTATTTCCTCTCCCCATCTACATTCTTTCCCACTACCCACAACACCCACACTCTCCCCCACAACACCCACACTCTCCCCCACTACCGACACACTCCCCCACTGCCCACACTTCCCCACACTCACCCAATCTCCCTCACTACCCACACCCCTCCACTACCCATGACCCATCGTTACTCAGACAGGTGTGTTGTGTCAGGTATAAGCACCGTCTAGGGTTCTGGTGTGGGGTGTAGGGTTAATTACTTCAGGTGTCGAGCAGGAGGCGGACATCCTCTTCCTTCCTTCCTTCCTTCCTTCCTTCCTTCTTGCCTACGTCCTCACCGCTGCTGGAAATGTGATGCTCTTTCATGCTGGGCTGTGAGATTGAGCACGGGGCTGTGAGATTGAGCACCGGGGCTGTGAGATTGAGCACCGGGGCTGTGAGATTGAGCACCGGGGCTGTAAGATTGAGCGCCGGGGCTGTAAGATTGAGCGCCGGGGCTGTAAGATTGAGCGCCGGGCTACACAGTTAGGCCCTCACAGTCTTTCACTCACCGAGCTCTGACCCGTATCTTATAACACAGTTACCAGCTCCGCTAAAACCCTTCCTGGAGAAAACATTAACTTAAAACAACAACTATTTCACTATTAATTATGAAGCATTAGGATATATTTTAACATTATCTAAACACCTGGTAGAGAAATATATTACAAATAATGTTAAATGTTGAAAAATGAAGTTATTAATATTGTAAAAGAAAAAAATGTGGTAAGGGTTGGTGGTAACAGTGACGCAGCAGTACAGTATAAGACGCTTCTTCATGTAGGAGGAGGTGAGGTGATGTGTGTTGTTGTGAATCATTGCTTCAGCTGTTCCGTCATGGGCTGTGAGGTTGGCCATAAGGCAACAGTATACCTCGGGGATGGTATAAACAGCTGGCCTCGTAACCTTCCGACCTCCCATAACTGTTGGTTAGTCCACCGGAGAGCTATTTCTACCCGAGTGGTGACTTGGTTGTAAATAGTTTTATATTCTGTTGTCATCATGAACACATACAGGTTCGGTTTGTAATATTTAGTTCACTGTTTTAGGAATGACTGTGAGGCAACGTGCGTACATTCACTCACACACATACCTACTACCACACACATACACTCACTCGTACACTCATACATTCACTCACACACACACACACATACTACCACACATACACTCACTCGTACACTCATGCATTCACTCACTCACTCGTCTCCTTGATATATGTATTGCTGTCGACACTTAGCTCTTGTTGGTGTTTAGCATAGGTACATTGTCTGTCTGTCTGTCTGTCTGTTGTGTGTCTGTCTGTTGTGTGTCTGTCTGTCTGTTGTGTCGATGTGTCTGTTGTTGTCTGCTGGTGAGATGGTCAGTAGTCACGCCCTCTGGTCCTGGTGATTTGTGTGGTGAAGTAAATAGTGATCCACCATCAGTCTGTCACCCGTCTGTCTGTCTGTCTGGTGGTGGTGATGGTGGTAGTGGTGGTGATGGTGGTAGTGGTGGTAGTGATGGTGGTAGTGGTGGTAGTGATGGTGGTAGTGGTGGTGATGGTGGTAGTGGTGGTGTATGGTGGTGAGTGGTGGTGATGGTGGAGTGGTGGTGATGGTGGTAGTGGTGATGGTGGTAGTGGTGGTGATGGTGGTAGTGGTGGTGATGGTGGTGGTGGATGGTGGTAGTGGTGGTGAGTGGTGGTGATGGTGGTAGTGGTGGTGATAGTGAGTAATGGTGATGGTATTACTGCTGTCTACTAGTGCTAGACTATGAAGGCAAATGTTTAATTCATATCAACATAACTAAAACTATTAAAACATCATTGGGGTTAATTGACCTTAACACCTCCTCCCAGTAAGTGACCAATGGAAGGAGTTAATACCAGAGCTAAGGCACATACATTCTCTCTCTCTCTCTCTCTCTCTCTCTCTCTCTCTCTCTCTCTTTATGATGCAACCGCAGCCTTAATTTTCCTACATTATTTTCTACAAGGTGAACAATAAGTACAAGCACCTGTTCATTCTCTCTCTCTCTCTCTCTCTCTCTCTCTCTCTGTGTCTCTATGTTAAGTTCTTTATCTCTATTTTATGGTATTTCTCTCTGTTTATTTCTTCTCTTTTAAGTTGTTTTTTTCTTTATAATTTAATTTTCTATGTAAAAGTTTTCGTCTCTTTTATCGTTATTTTTATCCTTCCTTTGTTTACACTCCCTCCTTGGCCTCCTCACCTCCACCACCAATAATTACTCGTCCACACCTGACTCGTCCACACCTCACTCGTCCACACCTCACTCATCCACACCTGACTCGTCCACACCTGACTCGTCCACACCTCACTCGTCCACACCTGACTCGTCCACACCTCACTCATCCACGGTTCCATGACATTTATCAACACTAATCTAACCTAACCTAAACATAAAAGTGTTTTATTTTATATTTTATATATGAGACTGGGGTTTTGTCCGGTCACCCTCATCCACACCTGTCTCGCTCATCACAGTGTTGCCCAAGGTAGTGTCATTATGGCCCGGTAGGGAGACGTTACTGACGGTGTGACGTGTGGTAACAGTAATGGTGGTCACTGTCAGGGCCTCTTGTTATGTGTCTACTTACCTGTCGTGGCTGGGAGGCTACTGACATGTAGGGTGATGTGGCTGGGGGTGGTTGCTGACAGATGTAGGGGGTGTGGGTGTCATGGTGTGGCTAGGGTGGTGGTTACTAACAGCTGTAGAGGGTGTGGCTAGGGGTATGGTTAGCGGTAGCTCTAAGGGTGTGTGGTTGGGATGGTGGTTACTGGCAGCTGTAGAGGGTGTGGATGTTGATGTTATGGTGTGGCTACTGGCAGCCATAAATGGTGTGGCTGGGGTGTCATTTATTTTTATGGTGTTGTATTTTCATATTTTTTGCCAAGTTTCATCTACGGTCGAAGGGTGCGTGCGTGCGTGTGTGTGCGCGTGCGTGTGTGTGCGTGTGTGTGTGTGTGTGTGGATGTGTGTGTGTGTGTGGTCGTGGGTCAAACTCTTGTTAACTCTCACCATTGTTGATCATGTTTGGTGGGGATCAGTATATTACACTCGACATCCTCCCAAGATCTGGGTTAATTGGCCTCCAAGATGTTTACCTGTGTTGTGTGGCCTCCAAGATGTTTACCTGTGTTATGTGTGGCCTCCATAACGTTCCTACACACACATACACACCCCATCACTTATGTGCAGATAATACTGACTTAGTTGATAGCTTTAAGAATCATTGTGTTAATTCATTTATGCTTGATATTTAAAATACTTTAGTGTCATAGTTAAATTATATATTCTTTTGTTTATATTGTATATATATATATATATATATATATATATATATATATATATATATATATATATATATATATATATATATATATATATACATACATACATACATAAACCTGTCTGTTTATCTATCTATCGTCTATATTTTGTGTAGATAGACAGACAGACAGACATATATTGTGTATGAGTTTTGTTAGGGGTTAAGTGTGTGTGTATTTATGCATGCCTTTGTGTGTGTGTTTATGTATGTATGTATGTTTACTTTAATATTAATCTAGACATTTTTGTTGTTGTTTACAGTGAGTAATTTGTGTTGTTGTTTACAGTTAGAGTATGTGTTGGTTAAGACTGGGGGCCGCCGCGCTCCTGCTGGGCGTCCTTACCTCAGCCCAGCTCACCAAGGTAAGATAAATTAGCTCGACCCTCACCTGTGTGTCCATTATGTGTGCCTACTTGTCCACTATACTTGATCCCCTCCCCCCCTCCACTATCCGTCCTCACCTGTTCCATACCTGGCCTCCATCGTCCCCTACCCGGCCTTAACTCTCCCCTATACCTGGCCCTGCACCCGACTCAATCTACCTGTCCACCACCCGGCCTTCACCTATCCTCTACCCGTCCTCACCTGTCTACTACCCGTCCTACCTGGCCCCACCCTACTCATTATCTGTCTGAGCTCCTTGTAACTTTCGTCTATTTCAAAAACAAAAAATAACTCCCCCGAGGCTTCGTTTTGAGGCCAACAAAGACTTAACGCGGTGGTGGGTGAGACCAACTCGCTCTTAGAGGTTTTGTAAAGTGTCTCTGGATTGGGTCAGGCGGCGGTGGAAGGAAGAGACTGTGTTATGGATGACTAGTGAATGGTATATTATTATTTATACTTTATACAGTCAGTATCATTATTTTATTGAAGAATTCTTGTAATGCGTGTGATTGCCTAGCCGAATTCAAAATACGTATCGGATCACCTGAAGAATCTTTACCCTAGCTTATTTTACCTGAAGATTTACCACCCTAATGCTAACCTAACATAACATAACGTCCCTGAAGTGAAGGTGTTGATGAAATGCGTTAGTTGTTTATGTTACGAAGTAAATGAGTGTGATGAGAGAAGGACGGGACCTTGACAACAACAACACTAGTAGTAATTAAAACACACCTGAGGTTATGACGTAAGGCAGGTAGTGTAAGTAGGCGGAAGAATACACCACCGTGACATCCACCGCTGTCATTGACCTTGGTGACGCTGGTCTGCCTTCTCTCTCTCTCTCTCTCTCTCTCTCTCTCTCTCTCTCTCTCTAAGATACTGTTTTATCTCGATAGAAGTAAAACGATGGACAAGTAAATATATAGAGAAATATAGATGAATAAAAATAAAAAATAAATAAATATGTATCTAGTTTTTTGTGTCAGATAAGAAAATGATTTAATCTGTGGACGTCTTGTGATAAATATTACAGCAGAAGTGGAAAGATGTCACGTAGCAACTTCCTTCACGTCTGCTGATAAAAAATATGTTATTAAACCACACACACACACACACACACACACACACACACACACACACACACACACGAGGTAAGATAATTGGTAGAAAGTCTCCAGCAATACTTGTTGGTGTGAGGTGGACTCCTGTCTTCCTTCTTCCTTCCTAGCTGCTGCTGCCACTAGTACTTCTCATCTGGTCCTCCTTAGCCATTTTTTCATATGGAGTCAGGTTATCCGTGTGTGTGTGGGGGGGGGGGTAGCTGAGTGTGTGTGTGGGCGGGTGAGTGTGGGTTACAGCAGCAGGGGGGAGTCACCTGTGGTTATCAACTAGGTTAGGTTGAGTCTGACTGTGTGACACGAATATACTGCATATTAACTTATTATTAGTAGTAGTAGTATTATTATTGTTATTATTACACTTAGTTTTTATTATTATAGTCACAGTGTACCTTTATTGTCTATATAATTAGTCCAGGTTTGTGACTCACCTGTTAAGGCATTCATCATATCGCTGAGAAGTTATCATAGAACATTTTAAAGGTAATTAGGGAGATTTTTGTGTTTTAAAAAACTTAAAGGCAAATATAATCTCCCGATGTTGCTAATTAGTAGTATTGGTCAAAGTGAAGGTCAGAGGTCACCCAGTGGTCATGTGTGAGGCTCAGGTAGGTAGCTCAAAATTAACGCTGAGGTGAGTCAGGTGATTAACCTCGCTCTCGGGTGCTATAAGGTGCTATTAGCTTGCGACTGGGAATGTTTACGTCGCTTATATTCCAGAGTGATTCAACTACCGGTATCAATAACACATATTTCCTGCTTACAACTGAGACTTCTTCTACCTTGTCCAGCACCAGTGTCCTGCTCTAGTAGATACACAGTGATAGAACGTCCGAAGAAAAAATAGTTTATAGGAAATATGAATAAGTAATGGGATAAATAAATGTAAACTATGTGATAACTGAACCATATCGACCCGTGAGGCAGTGATGAGAGGAGAGGTGCACGTCATAGTGAGCCGGACGATGGCCCCTCTCCTCTACCAGTGCAGCTCTTCACCATCACGGGAGTCACTCATGTCTCACGAGCCAGCTGATGGTGAGGCCGCTCCTGTCACGTGTACACGGCGGGAGTCTCGACCATCGTGAACTGCTCGTCCCGTCCCGCTCACTGTGTGTGTGTGTGTGGTGCATTCAGGAACAGTCACACGCACCACAGTACCGTGACCAGACAGCCTTCACCAAGTGTGGAGTGTGGCAGCTCTCTCTCTCTCTCTCTCTTTTCCTGTCACACACACACACATGCATATACTACCTCACGCATATATACCTCAGTACCGTGACCAAACAACATTCACTATTTGGAGTCTCTCTCTCTCTCTCTCTCTCTCTCTCTCTCTCTCTCTCTCTCTTTCCACAGTGACTGCCAGACATATACTATTGTGTGCCTGGAGACAACAGCGTCGCTATAAATGGAATAGCGGTGAAGGGATAGACTGACCCACAAACTTATCCTCCCTCCCTCCCTCACGTTACACACACACAGTTCGAAGTGCCCCTGTGTTCACCAGTGTGTGTGTGTTGGACCTCTTCTTTATTCCTCGAGTCCGGAATATTTTAGTTAAGTGTCTGTCATATGGGACCTTCTTCTTCTTCTTCTTCTTACTCACAGTAATTACGTTATTACACAAACGACGCCCTGAAGATTCTCAGTGTTCAGTAATAGTATTTAGCTCAAACACCAAGTGATCCACCTCCTCCTCCTCCACTCTCCTCTTTCAATTCTCTCCTCCACCTCCTCCCTCTCCTTCTCCTCCACCTCCTCCCTCTCCTCCTCCTGTACCTCCCTTGTCGGCCTTCCGGTGTGGGGTTCAGTGGCTTATAGGGAGGGGGGGGGGGTCCGGGAAGACTGTTTTGGGTAGCGGAACTAGTGGAGCAACGCGCCAGTAGCCAAGGTGTACACAGCTGCTGGATAACGGTGGGGCCTGGCTCTTGATGTTGTTATTATTATTAGCAGTGTTAGTGGTAATCTTTATTGTTTTTTCCAAATAATAATAATAATGATCATAAATAATGAGTAATAATAAAATTAATAATACTGTAATAATATTCATAATTTGCAAATAATTATAATATAGTTTTAGTTTTTGAACACATTGTTATTTTAAGAGTTTTGAAAGAAATATTATTGACACCATCAGTTGGGATTCTCCTCAGTGAGTTCCTTGGATATGAGACAATGTTTACGGCTTACACCACCTTTGTAGTCAGTAACGGGCATGAAGAGTTTTTGTGCCATTTGTGGATTTAAAAGAGATATTTGAAAAGTTAAAATAATACTTGTATATGCAATTAAAAGCTAAACTTGGGATCACCTAAAGAATATCCACCCCAGCTTATTTCACCCAAAGATCAACCAATATAACCTAACCCAACCTATTGTAACATAAGCTAACCCTCCAGGTAGTGTTAGTATGTTTAATCATTAAGTCCCCCCGCCACCACACCTGAAGAAGGGGCTGTAGGACCACTTAGTTTTCCTTCTTGTGTATCCGGGAGTTAGTAATACGATAACTCGGACAGCGAAAGAATGTTAACCAAATTTGTTATGTAGACTTATCACCAAGGTCTCGGGTGTGTTTTCCTAAGCTGCGTCTTCTCTCATTGCTTGGTATAGGACTGTGTGGTGATGTGTGAACTGTGTGGTGATTTGTGAACTGTGTGGTTATGTGTAAGCTGTGTGGTGATGTGTGAACCTTGATTAAGTTGTGTGGGGATGTCAGGACCTTGTGTAAGTTGTGTGGGGATGTCAGGACCTTGTGTGGTTACATCAGAACCTTGTGGTGACATCAGAACCTTGTGGTGACATCAAAACTTTGTGGTGTCATCAAAACCTGAGTCACTGGGGAAACACCAACACCGGTACCCAACATAATAGTCCTGTGTTCCTCCCTGGCTTCACCATGTACTAGATAAGAAGCAGCGATGGCCCGAGGCGTCCATGAGTGAGACAAGAGAGCGACAGCTGGTCATCTGCCTGGTATCATTGGAATTAAATGTAGCATGTGGGAAATGAACTAATGCGTGGGAGAAGAATGTGCCAGACGAGGAAGTGACCAGAACAATGTATGGATGAAAACCCGTTAAAGATAGCATGACTGTGTGAACCTTATGGCGACTGGGTGATGTTTTTGGGAATGTCTATTGTAATGGTGTTCTTGAGTGAGGTGATGGGGGGGGGTGTTATGGATGCTCGTGGGGTAATCTTCAGCGATGTGATTTTGACTTGTTCAGTGTACATGGTGATTGGTTTGGGGTGGATATATCTATCGCGTGGTCTATTTAAATGGACTCTGGTACACATTCGTTCCCCTCACATGTACTCAGACACACACGGTTTACAGTACGATGGGGGAGAGTACATAATGAATGACCGTTGAGTACCACCACTGTACCACACATCACTCAACAGTGTATTAGAAGTTTGTGAGTGGCTGGCCTGGAAGGTTCTGTACCTCACTCACTCCTCAGTCTCTCACCCCCCCCTTCCCTCACCCCTCTTACCCGCCCTCTTAACACTGGTGGTCGTCCAGGTAGCCTCAGGTAAACGTGGGGCCTAAAGTGGACAGGGTGTGTGTGTGTGTGTCAGTTTGAGTTAACGTAGTGTTGGTTTTCGTGGTTTTTCAATGCAATTAATATACAGGTGATTCATATAATATACAAGTAAATAGGAAACAGAAATACCAAAATATTCAATTATTCCGTGATGCTTTACAAGTGAAAAGTGACGAGAACTTTTGGATATTTGGATGTCTGTGTCCTCGCGGTTAACTGTATTTGCATAAAGTCGTGAAGTCTCGGTCACATTATGAGAGCCGGCAGCAGCTAAGAGGATGTATATTATTACGATAGCTGAAAAGTTCACATTATTGTCCTGTAGATATTGCTCGATAAATAATGACTGGATACCATGAGATGAACATCATTAGTAAAATACGAATAATGACGGCGACCTTCTAATACGTTCACGACTCACCATAAATCGTCATTAGTGTGCACCACAGCCTTGTCAATTACACCGAAGCCTTAAGTGTGTATGATGTGGTGCAGCGCGTCCGGGTACCTGCGTGACTCACGAGCCCCAACTAGGACATACCCACATCCGCTAACTTTCCCCTTGAATACCTGAGTGTCGAGTTTATATATATTTAGTTTTTTCTACACAACTATAACTATTGACAACTTTTCATACTCTTAGTTATCAAGGCTGTACGTGACTCCGTGGAGTAACCGAATGTTGGGATAAAACAAAAATCACGTACGCTAGACACGGCATTAACAGTACGTGACCACCTTGTAGAAATGTACGACTGATCTTCAGACAAAATAGTAAATATTGACGGTGAATGTGAGCGTCGACCAGTGGTGCCTAAGCCTTTGTCGTGACGGTGAAGGGCAGCAAGACAGGGCCGCCCACAAGGACCGCTCATGGTCGACACCCTTCACTTCCTACTGTTCATTGTATCTTTATAATTTACCGAAAATATATAACCGTATAGTTACCCAGTGAAATATAGATGAAACAACTACTATGATTTATATAGATGACACAACTGTTGCCAATTCTTCGTGTTGTGTTCAAATGTATTACTGCGCTTAAGAAAAAATATCTTTGTTAAGCGCGTTGCCTAGATTAATAAATATACCAGTCATCAACAATTAAACTCCAAAGAGAGATATATCTCCCTAGTGGCAGGCAACCTTGCGATTGTTGGCTTGGTCACTGAAGAAGCAGTTACCGCCACCTGTTACCTCATGGCTGGTGACTGCTGGTTTGCTAACCTCTTAATTATTATCTAAGCACAACCACAAGTAATAAATGAATGGTACTTTACTGTTTTGGTTTAACAATTATGTATTACACCATAATTAAATGGATAATTAGTTATTCAGTTAAATCGCTATAAAATTACATACTTCAGCATGTATACATAGACAATGTATGTATACAAGGATAGCCCAACAAAGCCATGTCAGTAATACAGCCTACTGAAGACGGCATCCATGAAGGTTACCCTCGTCTCGGTTGGGTTGGCATGTATGAAATGTACCGAGTGTGTACCAACAGATGGCGGGCACAGCTGTGTTTACCTACGGCTCTGTCTGTGTTCATCTGAGTCAGAGGGGATTTCTTTGTCTCTGCTTACTCTTATTTGACATAATAACAATATTCATAAAGAGGGTAAAATTTTCGTCATATTCTGCCATTAAGGAGTGTATGTAGTGGTGATGGGGGTGTAGAGTGCAAGTGTACTATTGTAGTGGGTGAACAGTGTATCAATCTCTTTGGACACAGTTTTAGTATCTTCAGTGTATAAGTTTACAGTGTTATTATTGAGTGGTAATAATTTGCTATACGATGGAAGTATTAAATTTTCCACGTGGGTATTGTCAAAATATCTCAATAGAAACAAAATAGCTACATAAAACATAACCCACAAGTCGATTATATATTCTGATGAAATTTGGTATGGTTCATGCATGTGGGGCACGAAATGCAGTAACTCAGTAAGTAATAATATCAGTAGAGAGTGATGGTAAGTGTGAGGCAGGGGTCGGTGTGGCGTGACTCACCAAGGTCCTCTGCGGCACAACCCAGGCCGCGCGTGTGCCAGCCCTCCCTCCCTCCCTGGCATTCACTGATGAGATCAAATATGAGATATTTCCATTTACGTGTGATTTATGTCTGGCCTTTGGTATGATTGTATGTCACTGTTCTGGGTGGAAAGGATTGTATTATTGACACATGTATGCTTATAGTAGTATACACATGTAGACACCCCCCTCCCCCACCGCCACACACACACACACACACACACACACACACACACACACACACACACACACACACACACATTTATGAAAATCGTATTTCTTTTGACTTATAATTTTTTTCTGATATTTTATACAATCTTTAACTTTCATTCATTATTCGGCACATTCCTGAATTGCTGAAAGTGAAAATTAAACATTATTTCACCACTTTCTTTTGTTTCGCAGTAAATCTTAAATTATCGTGGTCACAATGTTATGAAGTATTACTACGCTTTAACAAATATGATTTTAGACGCGTATTCTAGGTACTATCAGTTTGTTGACAAAGAGACATCCGGGCAGCATTTTATATATGTTAATATGAGTGATGGTGCGTTGTTAGTTTTACCTGTAATTATTTATGACTTATTAATATGATGGCTGTTTGATTTGGGGAAAGATAGAATAATAATAATTGTTCCTCTTAAATGATTTGACAAGTTATGTGAGTTTGTGGTGTTATTAGTACAGTATATCTTTTCTTTATATAGTAATGTTGTTTGTTTGTATTTATGAGTGAATTTTAATTATTATTTTTCTTTTTAACAGGAGGATGGCCTCTTCCACTGCCCAGTCGGTGAGTACAAAGCAACATGGCTTGGCTATTGTTTTGTTGTACAGTGTAACTTAAATGTATTGTCTTACAGAGAACACACACACACACACACACACACACACACACACACACACACACACACACACACACACCAGAAAATATGCCTGACACAGTATGTATAACACTATTACTAATATTTTGTTTCGTGGATAAAATTTAAAACCACAAAAGATACACATTAAACTGGACAGCGTCTCGCCTCACATCGTCTTTTATGTGTTTCGTGTTTTGGTTTTGATGGAGATAACTCACTGTTGAAACACGTATTGACTGTAGCTACTGGGTGTGTTACTTAAATCATGGCGTGTTTACAGTGTATGAGTTAAGTTGATATTAAAAAGGGTGACGTTGTTGATTTATGTGTTACTAGGCTTTAGGGGTTAAGGTCTTTAAGGGCGAAGTTTATAGGTTAAGACGTACACTAATCATCAGCTAAAGGGATAGATCTCTGATGTAGGAGTGACAGTGTTGGAAGAGGAGTGTCTGTTCAGTTAAAACAAGTGGGAATAATGTGTGTATGATCTTAAAATACTCGTCTTACGCTTCTCTCCCAACAGCCCCGCGGCAAAAAGGGAAAACAAAGGAAACAAAATCTCTTATTTGTCATCGTTGCTTCACCCCGGATGTAGTCGACACCTATGGACAGGCACGCTAACCACCCATTGCTTGGGAATTATTGGCAGAAAGGCTCAAATAACCTGGGAACCCCTGTTAGGTAGTACGGTGACGATTTATTTGCTGGGAACCACTGAGAGTTTGCAAGAGGAGTGGAGGTTCTTGAGGCGAGTTCATGACGGTGTTTGCCCAGTAACCTTCAGTGGTGTTGGGGCCCGGATGGTGACGTCATGTCCAGGAACGAGTCTCCCCCCCCCATCTCTTGTTTCATTTACATCATAATCTGGTGTTTCTCAATCAGGATACTTCAGTCCTCAAATTATTCATGATTTATGATAATTAATACAGTTATTCTGTGAAAGTTGATAAGAGAATAATTAGTCTAGGCGTGTATACTGTTTTAACTTGCATTCATAAATAAGAGTAATGTCTTATGTAGTCAAAAGGTTATCAGCATAAACCTTAAATATGTACACGAGTTGTAGTCAAGCGTAACACACACGGCACTGTCTACTCTATTCCGACGATCATTACAACTGAATATTAATAATATGTTTAGTGACTCTTGATAGGATATTCAAATAACCCTTTAACTGGGTGTGAGGGGAGGGTCGGTGTAAATTAAGTTGAATAAGTTTGTATTTACTGCATCTCTCTTCATCGTTTGTGAGGATGTTAGCAGATGAAGTTTTATAGCGTCAGACAACAAAAGTTTCGCCTTAAAACTTAGGGTCAAGTTTTAAGGGGTTTTATAGGGTCAAGTTTTAAGGGGTTTTATAGGGTCAAGTTTTAAGGGGTTTTGTAGGGTCAAGTTTTAAGGGGTTTTGTAGGGTCAAGTTTTAAGGGGTTTTGTAGGGTCAAGTTTTAAGTGGGTTATAAGGTCAAGTCTTAGGAAATAGAAATGATTTTGACGAATGATAGACCTTTAAACCCTGATTTTTTTTCATGAATAGAACACGAAAAAGTTTTTGGGACCCAGATGTGTGTGTGTGTGTGTGTGTGAACTCGAGGGGGTGAGGGATGGTTGTCACTCTTAGAGGTGAATTGTTTCAGGTAAGTCTCACAGTGTTTGGCGTGAGTGTGTGTTAAGGCTCCGCTAGTCGGGTATATAACTGTGTGGTGTGTCATGACCCCAGCGAGGAGTGGCCAAGGTAACGTGAAAGGTTTACCTGCTCGTGGGTGGTGAGGTGAAATGGGTGGGGAGGTTACGAGGCGAGTGGGTGTACAGGTGCGTAGGTGGCGAGATGATTGGGTGGTGAGGCGAAGTGGGTGTGGAGTGCGTAGGAAGCGAGGGAGGTGGATGGCGAAACAAGTGGGTGGTGAGGTGGGTAAGGGTGAACCTTAAGTGGATAGGTAGGTAAGTAAGGGTAGTGAAGGTAGGTAAGGGAGGGTATGAAGGCAGGTAAGGGAGGGTAGTGGAGGCAGGTAAGGGAGGGTAGTGGAGGTGGAGGTGCAGGTGAGGAAGGCAGTGTGAGGCAGGTGGGGGAGGTGTATGAAGGCAGGTAAGGAGGCAGGTGGTGAGGCAGGTAAGGGGAGGTGTGAGAGGCAGGTATGAAGGCAGGTAAGGGAGGGTATGAAGGCAGGTAAGGGAGGGTAGTGGAGGCAGGTAAGGGAGGGTATGAAGGCAGGTAAGGGAGGGTATGAAGGCAGGCAAGCATGACGGGCGCGCGTTAGGTCTGGTTGGGTCAGGGAGGTATGGTGGAAAAACGTCGAGGAAGAAGCCGTACGTGATGTGGTTATCCTTGAAGAGTCGTGAGCTGTGTGTGTGTGATCTTTCCCTGGGCAGGTTACCTCCGTCAGGCCATGTTCCTTTAGTCGTGGGGGGATGAAGAAGGGGTCGAGGAGGTGGTGGTGGGGTGGTGGGGGTTCGCAGTATTGTACCTTGAATGCTAACTCTCTCTCTCTTCCAAGACCATTATCGGTGTTTCTTTTCTACTGAGCTTCATCACAACAACTGCCTCCTCTCTCTCAACTGTATTTTATTTCGATTTTCGTAAATGTCAGTGTTATTGTAGTTGTGGGTTTAAATTACCGATATAATTGTTTCTTTGTCAAATAGAGTTTTATACACTGCGGAGGCGGTCACGGGATGTTGTATTTGATGTTACAGGAGTGGTAGTCGTAGCTGCTGAAGCCTCGTCCAAAATTCACTAACAATAAAAAACTTATTGTAGCAGTCACCTTCACCTTACGAATAGGAGTGATACCCAAGACAGGCCCTCAGTGACACACACACACACACACTATCCTCTCTGTACCTTCCCACTTAACCACACGTCCACTCTGTCCTGCTCTGTCCATCTCCTGCACTGCCCCACCAGGACCTTGCTGAAGGAGGCGCCTCGTCCACTTCGTCAGTGGTGGCTTACTTGAGTCACCATAACATAAAAAACCTTTCGTTGATTACTGCCTGAACTTCCAGTGTGTCTGAAGACTGAAGTGCTCTCTAGATAACACTAGAGTATCAGTAATACTCATACTTGTTAGTTCCCAAAGTGTTGATGACACACTTGTTGACGTGGAGGTGATGGTGGCTGGGCGTCACCCAGAGACCGTGGGCGTCCGCGGGGTTTACCGCGATTGTAAACCTTAAGACTATCACTGTGTCAGGTCCGGGACACTGGTGGTGTCTTAGACAAAACTAAATGTCTTACAACTCATAAGGTGGTGGGAGTTGCGGCTCGCCTCTTATCCTAATAAAGACCCAACTTGTAGTTGTGGAAGTGAAGCGGTCGAGTGCGGTGGCCGCCACACTTCCTTCTTATATAAGTACAGTATATATGTGTCCACACTGTCCCTCATGGGCCCTCGTGTGTATGGGACCCACTCTCACTTTTACATAAGGGTCAAACTCCCCTATTCAGTTCTCATCTGTATACTGGTGTTTTGCCACTCCAGGGAGCACTTGCCTCCCAGCAGAAACAGGCACAAGACACTGAGGTTTTAATAATAAAGCTGTGTTGACAGTCCTGTCACCTAGCCACTGTTACCACTACAGCTCCTCTGGTTAAAGAGCTTCCCATATAAATATTTCTTGTAGTGAACACTACTGGAGTGATAATAGTAGCGATATGGTGAAGGTTGAACATTGTGATCTTAAGGTGACGTAAGCAGTAAGACGCAGTGTTGCCAGGCGGAGTGAGGTAAAGAACTGTCACCTTCTGAAGTAACATTTCACGTTTCGCTCCGAATCCGTATAGGACCTCCGCCCTCCCTGTGTGTATTGGTAGTCTGGGCGTCGTCTGGGGTGGTTCTTGTACAAAGAGAAAATCTACCGCAGAAACACCTAGGTAGTATATTAATAAAAACTCGTTCTTCATGAGTCACGGCACTTTCTACGTCTTATTTTAGCGGATAACAATAAATAATCATAATTTATGTCAGTAACTACAATATATAAATACAAACATCTTGTACATGTTCGTGAGTGACGGGCACATTGTTATGTCATGTATCCTTTATGTACAGTATATATGAACGTTGACCTGTTAAGCCTGGTCATTGTAATTCCTCCCACGACCGCGAGAGGACCAGCCACCCACCCCACATTGTTGCCAAATGCTCGGGCAGTCTTCTAATCTTGGTATTATATTCGAATAAAACCTGGCTGATATGAACATTACAAGTTAAGATAGTTATTATATTGCTCTACTACTTTAATGAAATAATTATTTAATTCTATGATATTTGAATAAGGTGGTCAGTGGCCACTCGTACCCTGGGTATGGTAACCTTTCCCAAATGTTTTCTTCTTTCCAAAACTGGTGATTTATGTGGGCATTAAACAGTGTGTATGGTGGGCAGGAGAGGGAGACCAGCACTTGGTGATTCAAACTAACATTACTCTAACAACGACAAAACGGAGTGGAGTTCCTTAATATGAAATTCTATTCTAACACTTACGTAAACTGGCTATTGAGTGCAGATGATGCAAACTATAATTACTAAATAGATAGATAGATAACTATAAATATAGATTGACAGACAATATATTATAGAAAGATAAATATGGACACTCACGAATGCTGGTGACTTGGTTTTTTCATAGAACATTTCATTTCATCTGAGAATTCACTGCCAGTAATTTTTTAACATAATATAATACTAGAATTATTGTGTTACCCAGAAAATAAGACTGAGAGATAAATAAAACGATGATACAACAAAACTTAAGATAAAGGAACACATGTACAAATCCTTCCTGGCTACTATGCGCTTAACACCTAACATAACACTTATATATTCGTAATAAATAAGTAAATAAATGAGATTAAAGGTAAATATAAAACGCAGATAAATAAATGAAGATAAATTGACAATAAATGAATGAATGTATTTAGTTTGGA